GATGATGAATGACCCCCTCCCATAGGGAATAACAGAGGAGCGAAAGGGGAGTGGAGTTTGCAGGAGACAATTAGTTCGCTTAATTGGTTCGTAACTCTCCGAGACTCCCTGCCAAGTTCCGCAGATATCGGCCTGGCAGCTCTCCAAGCCAGATAAGGTCTGTGACTGTAAATCCTCCCTTGAAAGACTTTGCTAGATGTGGATGAACAGAATTCACAGCAAATTAATCAAAGGTTTTTTTTGTCGGGACAAGGAGTCTGCTTCATGCTCTTGGGAAGCCTCGGTCAGAACACGCCTAACCTTGGCAACTTTAAGGCTTGTGGACTTCAGCTCCCAGAATTCCATTCTGGCAGGAGAATTCTGGGAGTTGAAGTCCACCAATGCCATTTTAGAGACTTCCTGTTGGCCATCCCTGTCCTGAGTCTTCAGCGGTCTCTGTGGCTGGTTTTGCTTTCCGTGTCAGGCCCATCTTTATCATCTCGGATAAAGCTTCGCCTGTTGGTTTCGTGGCTACTTGTGTCTTGAGGGAACCCAGGGGCTTCTCCCAGGAAGGATGCCTTCTGGAAGGCCCTGAGAACCTCTCCCCCCCTTGCTGCAGGTGATGGCCTGTCTTTGACCGCCTCCGCGCCAAATCGCCTCGCCATGCCTGTCAGCTTGGCCAACCAGCAGGCCACGGTAGCCGTGGCGGCGGCCACCAGGACGGCCACCTTGGAACAGTTGAAGGAACGGCTGGAATCCGGAGAGCCGGCGGAGAAGATGGCACGGATGACGGAGGAAGAGCAGCGCTTCGTCCAGCAGGCCCTTCAGAGGAACCTCTTCAGCATGGCCCGACAGCTGCCCATGAAGATTAAGATCAACGGCCGAGGTGAGCCCCCTAGGGAAGCGCTCTGGTCCCCTCACTGGCCCCAATCCATTTCATCATAGCCACAGCATTAGACTTATATACCAAGTTTACAGAGTCAGCCTCTTGGCCCCCAACAATCTGGGTCCTTATTTTAGTGACTGAGGAAGGATGGAAGGCTGAGTCAACCTTGAGCCTGGTGAGATTCTATCTGCCGAATCAACCTTCAACCTTGAACTGCTCAGGATCAAACTGCTGATAGTGAGGCAGAGTTAGCCTACAATACTGCATTCTAAGCACTGGGAGGGAGGGAGGGAGGGAGGGAGGGAGGGAAACAAGCAAGCAAGCAAGCAATAGACTTATATACCACTTTATAGTGCTTTTACAGCCTCCTTAATTTTTCTCAATCGGGGCCTCCTTAATTTTTCTGCTTTTCTTTTTTCTCTTCAGAAGATAAATCAGATGCAGCAGCTGCATCCGCAGCATTAAACTGGACTCCTTCTGGCTTCGGCAGCATCAATATGTCAGTGGAAATCAACGGCACAATCTATGCTGGTGAGAGCATTTGGGAGTACGGCCAGGGGCTGACATGGGAGGTGCGGGGGCAGAGAGGCATCCTCAAACCACCTCTCTGGAGTTGACAGCTCATGGTTGTCCCGAAGGTGCTTCCTCTTCCTCCTCCTCCTCCTCCTCCTTCTTTCTTCTTCTTTCTTCTTCTTTCTTCTTCTTCTTCTTCTTCTTCTTCTTCTTCTTCTTCTTCTTCTTCTTCTTCTTCTTCT